TCCGATCTCCCCCAAAACCCCAAAACCCCATCTGGCAGAATTATGTTCATCATAAAAATACTAATAAATATAATACTCTGAAATAAGAATAATAAATCCTAATTCCTTATATATTTAATTAAATATGAATATTAACAGTCAAAAAACATCAAGTAAGCGACCAAGTGTTGAAAGCCAAATGTCTTAGAAAAATTCAACTTAGTTTAGTTTTCTTGGCGATAAAAGATATTCTGCTAACAATGAAGGAGTACATCCATCTTAAAAATCAGAAATGTCTTCAGCCACCTCATTAAAGGGCTAGGGAGATAATTAGAATCCATTGTCAAAGTCCAGTCAACTATAAATAGGTCAGCATGGTGCAGGTTCAAATAGTAAGAAGCAAATGATTGTAGTATAAAATAATGCTTAAAAAAATAATGTCCTAAATAACAAGAAATACTCTCTAGATGATAGATCTGAAAACTATATCATGTAGTTGTAAGAATTCACTCATGAGGGTGCATTAGAATTTTAATAAAGGAAGTTTTCTTAGGCAACAGATGTAGCCGCCACTGAGAAAAGTATTACTCCTGCCTACTCTCATAACTAGCCATTTAACAATAGATTTTCCCCTTTTTACTTTCATTAGGACAACTCTTAAAGTATTGACCACTAAGTAAAGCCACATAGAATCGAAATTGTGGAAGAAACCCCGCATAGTGCCAGATAAAACTCAAATAAAAATGGCTCCTAGTAGTTAGTTATCCCAATGTCTCATTTCAGATAGCATAATAATTCTTAAATACCGTTACCTCAATAGCCGGGTTAAATGTATCCTTCGCCATAAATGTTCAATCCATTTGCAGTACCTCACTTTGGTGATAATCCGTTGGTTAACAACTCATCATTTCACTCTTAGGTTAGCAATGCTAGCTTTGCTTAAATCCATTAAAATAGCATGAATATTCAGCATATGCAGAATAGTTTTAGCCTGCCTTCTTACAACAATAGTTTAGTCCTGCCAGGACATCAAAAGACTAATTCACAGCATTATCAGGCTTAGAGCTCATGTATTTTAAACTAAGCAGACAACAATTCCTGCCATTCTTCCTTTGGAATATCCTAGATGTCCTAGCAATTACCTTGTCAATGCACAGCCTGTCTTCAAGCATAAATGGCATACCTTCAGCAACTCCTTATTTAATAGTAATAGCTCTATCTTTAGCAAGCTATGAACAATGACTAAGCAAATGAATCGATGCACTCTCAAAATTCGAATAAAAATAATACTAGTTTATATAATCATCCAAAGCCTTAAAATCTTGAAAAGCATAAAAGTATAAGATCAGGATCAAATTCTATCCCTTCAAATGATGAATCATCAATACCAGATGAGATCTACTCTATGTAATCCTAAGATTAGGACGATGAAATCCATGATCTTGATAGAGAGCAGAAAATATTGAGGGATTAATAAGAACTTTAATCGCATTATGAAAAATTTATGCAGTAGGAACTGCTTGAATAAGAGGAAATTTTACAAAGATAAAACACTGGATACCCTTATGAATTGAATATCAATCCTAATCCTTAAGAAAATATTCTAAAAAAGAATTACATTGAGCTGCCTCTAGGGGAGATACCTGAGATGAAAGAGTCTTTTTATGAAGATTAAAGCAGATATACAAACTCTTCAATGAGCAAAAAATTTGGTCACTCATAGTTTGGTGCTGGAGGAATGACTACTGATTATAATTAGCTTTAGAGGTCTAGTTGCAAAAAAAGTTCAAGAATGGATAGCATCAGAACTATCACTAGACTAAGTATGAGTGGCGAAAAGGAAAATCTAGATATTTATGATACTATCCCGATTGATCCCTTCATATCTCGAAACCCCTAATCAAGTCTACATCTAAGGAATTTTTCACATTAAAATCCAGCTTAAAATGCTAGTTAACAACTTGAACCTCAGCTTTTCAATCAATATGGGACAGTTGTAACTCCAAACAAACAGAGATAGCTTTCAGGAAGCAATTGGGGAACTTCAATCAATAAAGATGTATCTGGAGGAATTCCCTATCAAGTCTAAACGAATTTGGCAAGCGGATAACATCACAGACACAATAGTAGTTTTATCTAAAATTAGCAGTTACTCTAAGTATTTAACCAGCAATAAATGTAAACTTCAAACAACCCACTTAATATGACAGACTTATTTCCCTTTAATAAATCTTAAATTTCAAACGATAACTAACTGCTCTCATCTAGTAAAGATGATATGATTTCTTAAGTCAATGATTAATTCTAGATGGATGAGTAATAAGAAGTACAGCAATTTGTTTAAGAATTTTAAAATAATCAGAAAACTATGATGATGGTACAATAGCCTTCAGCATAAACATAATCATAATTGCATGTGTATAAAACTACTGAAACTTAATAATCTCGATAGTCTGATATGTAGCCTGAGATTTAAGAATTTGAAGAGGAATTAGACTAGCAGTTCAAAAGCTTTCAAAATAATCCCAGTTTTTAGCAGGTGGTGATTTATGAAACTTCTTTTGATAGATAAGAAGATATTGGAAAAAGAAGAGAACTCTCAAGCAGTATGAAGAATTAGAGCTATGAAAAAGATAAGACAGATAAGTTAATTTAGTATATCCTAGAAAATGAGCCATACCAGCATTCAGGCAGAAACTCTAAAAGAGGTGAAGGTTAGCAGTAGTAAAGACAAGCCATTAGCCTATCCCAAAGAAATCTAGAAAGTTCTTTGAAAAAATGTGATGGGCCCTTCAAAACAGTTGACAGCGATTTGAGAATAGGCAACTTTGATGAATATTTTTACCCAGTTTCAGTAGTACCATTCATGCTCTATAATCAAAGCTCTGCTGAAGAAAATGAAAACTAAAAGGAAAATATGAATCCTGTCTCTGAAAAATCTAGTAGAGATACAATTAAAAGCAGCAAGACTGATTAACCATTTAAATAACAAAAGTGCAGTAATATAAATGAGCAGCAGTAGTATTACCACTAAAATTCAAACATGTTTGACATGCAAAAAGAAGAACCTGAGGTTTATAGAGTTTAAACATTGCTAAAGAAGCCAAATGCAGATAAAGGTAGTGCTACAAAGCCAAGAATAGATTATGTTTATAAGGACAATAGAAGCAAGAGTGTTGAGCCAAAGAATGGCAGGATATTTTAAAAGTATAATGCCTTTAAGACAGTATCAAATGCACTTACCAAACCAATAAGAGAACAAAAATAATTCACAAACTCAAGAGGATAGAGCAATGGTGCTGCAAATAATGCAATAAAAACACAAAGATGGTCTAGTTAACCCTCTAATAATAGGAAATCATTAAATTCAGAGAATAAAAGGCTATCACTATAATAAAATGTTCTTAAACCTATCAATATTCAAAATAATGTCAAGAATACTTCAAGACCAAGATAACAACATTAACAACAAACATAGTTAATAAAGTCCATGATTAAGCCTACGAATTCTGATGCATAATCCAAACTTTAGATATAATAAGCGGTAAGTTACAGATTGTCAGCTTAATCCCAAAGAGGGAAAAATATTAAACAACAGTCAAGGCAACCAAGATAAATGACAAATCGTTAATCAATGGCAACTCCTATTGCAGCTCGAAAACAAGAGTCTATTTTTACAAAGTTAGCTAATCAAAATCTTACAGGTAAAAAATCTAAGATAGAAAAAAGTAGCAAGAAGCAGACTGCAATCACAATCCCTTAGGCTCTCTCTACTCCAACAAACAATTACTATCTAAGAGCCTAAACTCAATCTAAAAAATTCTAAAAGACTTTGTTTGAGATGTCTGAATTACCCTCAAATGAAAACATTCAAAGATCTATTTCTGTTAAGAGACAGCAAAATCAGTTAATTGTATCACTTCCTAAGAGAAAATCAAGTGTTTAGTCCAATGAAAGCGCTTAGAATGATTTATTCAATTTGATAAAGAGCAGAGAGAAAGCAAATAGAAGATCAATTGAGAATGTCAGTGTTTAGAGAAATATTGACAGTCTTAAAAAAGAAAGAATAGCAGCTCAAGTTATATAAACAGATGAGAAGATAATTTTCAAGAAAAAGCCAATCAAGTATCTTTAGATGACTCGCTAGTCATAATCTAGCACTAAAAAACATCAATTTAAAGACTTATTATCTTCAAGAAGTAGATCAAGTAAGCCATATACTTCTAGAAATTCCCAATTATAAGAGCAAAAGCTAAATGATCCTAAAACACTTCTAAACAGCATAAAGAATACAGCTTTATCATTTAAGCTAATTGCAGAAAAATAAAAGTCTAGACCATTATTTAGCTCTAGATCACCTCCTTAAAAGAAAGCTGTACAGTAGGCTCAAAGTCAATTGCCAGTTTCAATAAAAAATTAAAAAGTTATGCAGCATAAAATATCTAATTATGTGCTTGAAACCCCAGACATTAGAAAGTAGAAGCTATCAAACCCATCAGAAATATAAATCACAGAAGAGTCTGTAAACTAACCAATCTAATCTTAGCCTGCTACTGAGAGAAATAGTATGTATAAAAATCCTTTCCACAATAGTAATATGGCAAGCTATAGAGAATCTTTTTTTATTCCAGGCCAGCAGCATTCAAAGAAAGTGAGTAGTAGCTTTGCCAGGGACTCTCCAGATTAAAAATTGTAATATGCATCCGTATATCAGAAAATTATTTCATCTTAAGTGGAAGAAGAGGATTGCATAAACGAGTCTCTCTAAGAGATTGATGAAGACTCAGATAAAAATGAAATTGAGTTTATTTTGAGTGAGAATCATAAATCTCTTAATCTTAATGAAATAAATGATATCTAGCAAACTTCGGAGCTATAAAATAAAATCAACTAATACTACAAGCTAAAAGAGGTATCTGATAAGCAGCACTCAATTTAACTTGAGCAAGATAGATTCTAATATTAATAGCATGTAATATAGCATTAAATCCCTGCTATCTTGCATAATTCGGTAGATAATGAAACTATCGGAAATAGAGAACTCTAATAAATTCTCAATTAACTAGAGTAATCGAACAGATCAAGGGCTACAACTGTCCAAAACTTTACTTCTTTTAATACCTTAGACCAGCAAGAGTTCATGTCATTTAACTCATAGACTAATGTTTAGCAACCTAAGAGTGCAATGGACACAGTTGAAAAGAGAAAGAAAGGTATAGTCTAAGAACCTATAATATAGCAGCTCCCATAACCTGCTTAAACTTTACCTATGAACTAACCTACCTTGCATAAAGGACTTGATAGTGGAACTAACCTTATAGAAACTCCAATTAGCAAGGAAATTAGTGCTTCAAATTCTGAAAGAGGAACAAGCAAGCAATACAGTTCTGATCCCAAGAGAAACAGTTCATTTAGTCGCGGAGATGTTTATCAATCACCTTCAATTAAAAAGAAGTCTAATGCATTCAATAACGAAAAACAAAATTTCTGTCTTCCAAACGCTTTATTCTTCAACAGCACTGCATAAAGCAAGAATCAAAGGAACTCAGTGAACCGCAGATCAGTTAATAATAGAAAACCAATTACTTAGTATAACCAAATCTTTAAGCAGACATCAAGTAAAAATGGCAGATAAAGCTCTGATATCGATGTTCTTAGGGAATCTACAGATAATTCTCCACAACTTACTAACAATGATTACACCAATCCTTATGCTAGTTCGATGCAAAATAGTAAAAATGAGTCATCAATAATCATCAGATCTTTTGGGATTGATTAAGTTACTGCTGGTGAAGATACATCGAAATCATTTCACAAGAGAGCAAATATCCCAAAATATAAGAAAAATGACCTGAATTATATGTCAACTCGGGATAAAACAAACTAATCACATAAAAGCAGCAGCAATTCTTAACTGTCTTCTTATAAAGCTGATGATGAGCAAGACTGCTAACGCACCACAGACTAAGCTAAATATAGGAATCTAAAGCTTAGTTAAGATGAGAAGAACTTCTTGAGAGAAAGATGTGAACAGCATAGATAATCATCTAGTAGCAAAACTCAAAAGTACAAGTGATAATAAACATTCTTATCAAATTAATACAGGATCTTTGAAAATTGAATTATAATTGTGGACTAAGAATATACCTTAATTATATTAACTTATAAATTAATATAATCTTAATAATAAAAATTTTGTAATGATTATGGGGTTTTGGGGTTTTGGGG